ATAAAACAAAGAAAAATAATAGACATATGAAAAAGGGGGGGGGAAATAATAAGTAAAAAAATAACAAACAACAGTTTACTTTAAAAAAAATGAAATGTTAATTAAAAAACCGAAAAAAAAGATATAATCCTTTCATCAGCCCACACGATTATATCCGCAAAACTGAGTGCTTTCTGATATTGTATCAATAAAGCCAAAGCTAAATATACAATAGCGTGAGGAGCACTCAAAAAAAAAAAATTTTTTTTTTAAAAATAACAACAAATAAAATAGATCACAAGAAGTATAAATAAGAAAAATAACATGTAAAAACTTATTGTTTTTCTTAACTTTCTTCGTGTTTTCTTGTATTTAAAATATATNTTAAAAATATGAATACTAATTCTGTCAATCAACTGAACAATTTTATTTTCCTTTTTAAGCACAACAATTTAGATTTTTAAAACCATACGAGTTAAACCGGAAAAAGATGAGAAAAACGCTGAACTTAAAACTACTTTAAAAGTCTTGAATTTTCCACTTTTTTCGTTGCAATTTATTGAGTTTTATAAATATATTTATTTAAATCAATATAATCTCTATTGTAACCAGTGTTTAAGATTGTTCTTTCAGTATTACTTTTAATGTTGTATCTTTCATCTCAGTCCAGATCAGATCAAATCCATAGTAAAAAAAAAAGTGTGTGTGTTTTTTTATCAAAACGTTTTATGATTTAATCCAATATATCTTTAAAAGTTCGACTACTATTTAAAATAATAAAATATGTCCAAAAAATTTATCTCATTCGATATTCTGTTATCAAATAGGATTACATGGCATAATATTATGCTTTTTTAAATCTTATGTCATTCTCATCAAAAATTTTAACAGATAAAATCTTTTCAAAATAAACTATAGTTTTAAGACACTGTGCCTATTGAATTTAAGTAACTTTACTTTTACTTCAAATCATTTGAAGAAATAAATTCTGCTTATTTTTCTATTGAGACTTTTGAAAAGGATGACATACGTGATACATTAAAAGGAAATGTGTTACATGATACTTCATATATTTTCAATACTTCATATGTTTTAATGTTTCAAAGTTTTAATTCTTTTTTAATTATTTAACATAAAATATTGTTATAAATGCTGTATCAATCAAGAGTCTCTCAGGGACTAAATTTTTTAATAATTTAAAAATATCAACAAAATTAGTATTTTAAAAAAGTATTTTAATTTAACGATTCAATAAAGAATCTTTAAAACAATACCTAGTCGAAAAAGCATTGTTTGTATAATAAAGTAAAAGAAAATGAAGGAAATAAAAATGAAAATATGACCACTGAAGCCGACGTCTTTAGGTGGTACCGGCTCCTGTAGCCATAAAAGCAATACCATTTTTAATTGAGGGGGAAGCAAATGCTTAAATTAACTCCCTCAGTATCCCGATGGTTTTGCATAGAAGTCCAGGAAAAAAAAACATGCAATATAAATAACAAATTAAGAAAAGAAACTCAAACAAAATCATCAGAAAAATAAAAACTCACATATTCACAGGTCAGACATCAATTTTTCAAGCAAGCCGAATGAAAAGAAAAAAACTAAAGCCTAAAGAAAACAACGCCCTCTATTACAATGCGCAAATGAAGAAAAAAAAGTGAAAAATGTCAAGAGAAATAAATACGTAATAAATTAATAGAATGCTTAACTGGGGTGCTCAGTTAAGACTTGAATTGCGCCCTGTTAAAAGAAAAAAATATAAAAACCTAGAACTCTTCAATCATTTTTTTAATTAAAAAATTAACATTACAAAAATTAAAAGGAAAATCATTATTACTCAAATTATTTAAAAAATTATTCACAGCTTCCCGAAAANATATATATTATTTTTAATTTTCATTATTCCTCTTTATTTTCCCCATTTTCTGGGTTTTAATAAATTAATTTCCGAATATAACTTTTTAACTAATTTTTCTCATGGATGGCAGCCCTAATATTTTACTTACTTAAAAAAAATTTCTTCTTCTTCGATTCTTCGAACAAATATATATTTTTTTTAATTTAATTTATTCGATTGAAGCTATAAGCACAACTTCAAATATTTTACCTCTTAGCGAATTTTGTTAACTGTTTAAATATTGTACTTTTAAGCCTAAACCGCATTTTGCTACACACCGGTATGTTTGATTACTTTTTTCTTTTATTTCATGCTCTTTTTCAACAAAATGTTTTTTTGCGATATCGTCACATATAAAGAATAATTTTTATCTTACGATAATTCTTCTTTATTCAGAAATATCGCATTAATTTATACCAATGGACGTGTCTTGATAACGACTGTTGGTTTTCCCATTTCTAGTTTCTCTTTATAGTAATTTTTATTTTATTATTTGTGTTTATTTAGGGTTATAATTTCTGCTGCATTTGCGCGATTAATACTCTTTTTATGTGTTTTTATGCTTCTTTCTCCTAAATACAAATTTTCCCTTGTTGCTTATGCGCGCTGTTATTTGTTCAAGAGATATTTTTCTTCCACATTTTGTATATTTTTTATATAATTTTTCGGTCCCCTGCTGATTCAGGTTAGCACCCTGCTTCAGTTTAATCGATTGCTAATAATTCCAATGATAAATTTAAATGTTAGGATAATCGATAATTAACCTGCAAATCGCTCGTCAGTGCTAATTCTTTTTTAAATTTCCCTCTTTGAAAGGCTACTAACTATATCTATAAAATTGAATGTTTAAATTGTGATGTAATATATATTGGCCAAACCTCCCAACCTCTTCACAAAGGAATTAATTTACATAGGTCTTTAACAAACAAATATAACTGTAATAATAATAACAATAGCCTTGAAATTAAACATTTTTCTGAACACGGGTTTAAAAATATTTCAATAGAGGTTCTGGATTTCGTAAAAAACCCTAAAAAACGTCTTGAGGCTGAAAATAAATATATGATTATTAATGAATCTATTTTTCCTTACGGTCTAAATACTAACTTCAATTTTAAATCTTTTGATAATAATGAGTGTATTTATAATATTTTCAAACTTTTTAAAAATTACAATAATAATAGAGGAAATGGAGGTAACAGTAAAAATAAAATTAAACATAAAATTAAACATAACTTAAAAGATTTTGTTAATGATTGCATTAATTGCTATGATCAACATAATGCTATTAAATCTATTAAAACTAAAATTTTAACTTAATTTTCATAACAAACTTTTAAATTTTTTAAAGTTAGATGAAGTAAAAATTGATTCAAAACAGGATTTTTCAAATTTTTTAAATTTAGTTGAAGATTTAGCTAAATATAGGTTTAAAAATAGTTATAAGCACAAGAATTTACCCTAACCAGATTATTTTGTTTTAGATTTTACTAATAAAATTTCTAATAATCTTAACATAAATGCAATTATTGGTAAAAATAAGAACCTTCTTCCTATCCAACTTAATTGTAAACCAACTTTTAGATATACAAAAAGTTTGCATTTTTAATTTGCAATTATAGGAATTTAGCTACAGATAATTTGAACTACGTGTGTAATTGTGATGAGTATAAAGATACTTCGTTTTTTGATACATTCCATAAACATGTTATTACCGGGGATTTAGATATTATTGATATTTATGTCTTTAGGTTCTAAATTTAGACCATCTCTTCCAACTTCTAAAAATAAAGTAATTTCTATTTTTATTAAAAATCTCGATAATCTGAAAATCTGAAATCTGATTTTATTTTAAAATACTTAAAAATCTGATTTTATTTTAAAATTATCTTACAGACATAATTTCCCAATTGAAGGATTTTTTTGAATGGAGAGAGAATATCATTAAAAATTTTAAAATCAATATAAAAAAGGGACAAATTAGTGTTTCATAAAGATTTAACTTTTAACTCTGTTCTGAAGCAAGATATTAAAAATATTCAAAATAAATTTTGTATTACCACTGTTGATAAAGCTAGTAATAATTTTGCAATTATTTGAAATTTTTTTTATAAACAACTTCCAATGAATTTAATAGCAATGTAAAATACAAAAAACTTAACTCCAACAGTGATATTATTATTAATAAAATTAATGCTATTTATAAAAGACTTAAAATTAAACCAAATAATATTAACAATTTTCGTTTTGCCAATCCAAAATTCCATAAGACTTCCATAAGATTCAGGTTTATTGCCAGTGGTGTTAATAGTAACAGGAAAAAAATCGGTACTTACTTTGAGAACATTCTTAAAAAAGTTTATAACAAAATTAATAAACTTACTAAAAATAATAACTATTTAAATTGGAATATTAAAAATAGCATTCAGGTTTTAAATACACTAAAAACCTTAAATAATGTTGATTCAATTCACTGTTTTGATTTCGAAAACCTATATACTTCCCTTCCAACAAATAAAATTCACAATGACCTTCTTCAAATTCATAGCATGTTTAATCTCAGTGATATTATTAATGAAGATAACTGGAACTTTCTAGTACATATTAACCATAACAGCAATTATATTCTTTTTAATGACCACCTTTTTCAACAAATTAATGGTATTCCCATGGGTAATAATTTTAGTACTAACATCTGCAATATATTTCTTTTTCTACAAGAATATATGTTTGTAAAATCATATGTTTATCTTCCAATTTATTCCTTCTTTCTCAGATTCATTGATGATCTATTAGTTATTAATTTTAATGATTTCGATATTCTAGCCAAACATATTTATCCAAATGAATTAATCTATATATAAACTCGTATATGGGTCATTCTCACAAAAACAGTCATTTTCATGTCCCCAGTATATTTTATGTTTGTTTTACAACTTACGAAAAAAAATTTTCAGGGAAAGTGTCCTTCAGAATGCAAGCTAACAAAAGAATAAAAATAAAATTATCAATTTTTATTTTTTATT